AATATTTTAATATTTATTTATTAATAATATTACTGAAAGAGAGAGAGAGAGAGAAAGAGAATGGAATATTGATATGCCGCAAATAGCCAAAGCATGCTAAAAACGCTTTTATTTAACAACTATGTGTTGTTTTTTACTAAGTAAGGTATTTCCTTAAAAATGATGCGAAACAATGGCAGAAATGTCGCGAGGAAAAGAAATAAAAATGCATCAACAGCGTCGGCAATTAAGAGTAGATTATATATATAATATATATATAAATCGAACTCGCGAAAACTGTATGAGATACAGAGAAGCATGAAAAAACGTGTCAAGACAAAAGAGGATAAAAAGCGCGTGTTTGCAAAAAGTAGATTAATTAAGAGAAATAATTAATAGAAATTCTTTCGCATAAAAAAATCAAACTTCTGACCTTTAAAATCAAGTCCCTCGTAAAAATTGTTGGATTTTTATTTATTTTATCCCACTAATTTTCTCTCTCTCTCTTTCATATTATTAGTATCGAAATAACGATTATCGATATAAGCAAACAATTTTGCCAATGACGTCATCCACCGATTTTTGAAAACGCGGAATGTAATTTAAACAGAATTCTGATTTATTTTAATTTGCTTAATTCACACACGATATTTAATGCTTTGGTTTATCGTAGTGCTAAAAATGCCATCAAGATTTTTCTCACGAAAATAAAAAAAAAACGCGGATGTGTTTTTTCCGCGAACAACGTCAATGATCGGTCAGTCTAAAAAAGTTTTACGGTGAAGAGAAGGAGCGATCCCCTATATACGGACGCATTAAGAAGTCTTTTACATCTTCGAATAGTGTATATGTATGACTTTATCGAATATATCGAATAAATATTAACGAAATTTGAGAATTTTGTGAATGTCAGAATGAAAAATGTGTAAGTATATAGTGAACCTAAGCGAAGTTACAGCATAATTATACTCCATTCGGCACTATATATATATATATATATATATATATATACATACATATATATATTGTACGTATAATACAATTATATTATTAAATAACTCTGTGAAAGAAAAACCTGCGATTGAATTGAAAGACTTGAAATCTCTTAATTTAGTGCTTACTAATTTAGCTCTCCTCTCTCTCTCTCTCTCTATCCCACGAATATAATAATTTATTTTTCTTATATATAATTCGTACTTTGATAATATTAAACAAACTTTAAATTAAAAATTATTTAAGCTTTAAAATTATTAATCTCCCAGAAATTTTAAGAATTGAATTTTTAAATATCGAAACTTTTATACGTTTTTGACTTATCTTTTTATATAGTTAGAGTTTTTTTTCGCTGTTGCATCATGCACATAATGAACCATTTTGTACGTAAAATACCTTGCACCGTAGGATTGAAGAATGTATTCCCGGGCGGCAAGATGAAAAGGTCCATTCCTGAGTCCATTGCACCTACCCCTAACATTTCTGGCTCACCAAGACTCCGCCTTCCGACATCAAAGTAGAAGACAGAGGATACATGCAGCATCCCATCGCCGACCAGCGTGGGTGCTCGTGTAGGAGGATCCTCAGAAAAGCCCTCCTTTCTTCCGCGTGCCTCCCTACGTCGCTCATTCTCTCTCTCTCTCTCTCTTTCTCTTTCTCCGTCTTTCTTCCTCAGAACGAATCTCCTAGAGAGAAACCGAGAGATACGAGAAAGAAAGAGAGAGAGAGAGGGAACCTTCTTTACTTTGAGAGAGAATGATGTCTCGATGATAAGTCGCGGGGTAGTAGCCTCGGGAGAGTTCTTTCTGATTCATCCGGGGTCCGCGCGGCTTTGAGCGTCCTTGTCAGCGTCCGGACACCGAGGTGAGGACAAGTCCTGTTGACGGCAGAGAGCAGCCTCTCGACGATGTCGGAGCTCGTCGGGTACTCGGTCAGAATCGGGACGCCGCTGAAACCACGGTCGGATCTTCTTTCAATGGGTAGTCGCGAGAGATGCTGAAGAAATCGCTCGTTTTGCGTTACGTTGTCGACGACATTAATGAGGAGACAGAAAAAGAGAGAGAAAGTGAGAGGGGGACGACTAGAAATTTTCCCGACGAAAACGCTATCTTGTAAAACGCGAGTTGAGATATTGATAATTAATGAAAGATTACCATCAGTGCGCGCGATTATTGACTAAAACATATAATTATGTACATATAATTATTCGGACAATGGTAATTTTCAGAGTGCGCGTTTTCTCAGTCAAGGGGAAATATCACGTGTGTATCTTTGAATGAGAATTTATTGATGAATTGACGATGACGATAATAGAAATAATTCGCTAGTGCGCAAAGTGTTGTTTTTCTGCATTAAATCTTTAATTAAGTTCAAAATGTCGACGAATTGTGATTACAGTGCAAAACAAATCGAAAATTTAATCACATGGATTACGAATCGACGCGTGGATTATGCGTACCCTTTGTCGCGATAATTGGTATAGTAATAATCGATACCGATATTGTCGACGAGGATGCAACCACAACACGAGCAACGACGCGAAATCGCCGCTGATTGCTGTTATCAGCAATGGCAGACGCATCATCATCATCATCATCACCATCATCAGCATCCGCATCTGTCTGCTATACCGTCGCCGATGCAACAAATGGAAGGTAAACCATGTACAATATAAATAATTGCCCTTTATGTTTGTGTGTTTATATTGTTATATTATATTGTATATTATCAAAGCCATTTCCATGCGATTCATTGGAATTTTAATTTATTAATTAAATTATTATTAATTTATTAATTAAAAACTTTTAGTAAATCATATAGTTCGGTACTTATATTTCAAAAGCATTTAGAGAAAGAGAGGACTTCTTAATTGAAATCATATTTATCTTGTTTTAAGATATAAATGATTTTTAAAACTATGCTATTCTATCACTTATTCATACATGAAAAATATTTTTTTATATTAAATTTTATTTAAGTTGTATAGAACTTTATATAATTTTGTTTTATATTTTATATTTTTATTCCATAATAATGTATTCTTTACTTTATGTATTTTTATATTATCATGTTATTATGTATACGGAGTAATTTGTAAAAAATCCAGATATCGTTACATTTATGCGTCGAAACGGCGAGTGCATTAAAACGGCGACGCGTTTCTCACGACTGCTTTTCTTTAGTTCGCACATCGAGCTTTCCGAGCTTTTTCATTGCATTCTGTGGTGCATAGTGCTTGTCAGTCCATTCTTGGAGAGCAAAGGAAACGCTTTACTTGATTCTGCGATATATCATCGATCGTTCTTCAAATTTCAAATTTGTAATTTAAAGATGATGTAAATAATCTGTCACGAGCAATGTGCGAGAAATGACATTTTCTTAAGTTATTTTCAAAGAGAGGAAAAAAGAAGTGTTAGCGGATAGAGAAAACAGTTGAAAAACAGTGATTAAAATGTTAGAACGAAATAGGGGAAGGTGTTTTTGCAAGCTCATTGAGCTTTTTGATATTACTAAATATCACATAAAAAAAAAACTTAAATTATTATTATTAATACTGAAACTTCGATACTTATATTTGAATGTCGCTGTGAAAAAATTTAATAATTTGTATCACGATTGAAATAAAGTAAACCGTGAAAAAAACTCAGCTGCGGTTTCAAAGGAAATTTTTATAAAATTGACTTGGCAGACAATCTGCTAAGTATGCAACACATTTTTGAGTTACAAGTTTAAACTCGTGAATTTCTCAATCAACTTTGTTTTTCATTAATTTTTTCGTATGCAAACTGATTCATGTATAGGATTATATAGGATTATATTTATGGAAAGCATTTCTCACTAACAATAAGCGTATTCCCTTTGAACTACGGATTTTTTAGCCAATTTTGAGTTGATTTTTTCTTTAATAATATCTAGGCGTTCATAACTTCTGAGTTAAAAGCGATTGAAAATGAAAGACTTTTTGAAAACTAACAAAGCTTTCGAGGGGAACAAAAATAGATAATAAAATCGTATATCTTTAATTCATTTTAATTAGATTGTAATAGAAAGAAAGAAAAAGAGAATTTTAATTTGAGGCTATTACAAAAATATATATTTAATAATATATTAAAAATTGGAAAATTATGAGAAATAATATGATTTTCGCTGAAGAAAAGTCGTCTAAAAATTTGCAAGAAATCCGCAATTAAAAAGAAATACGCTTAATAAGGAACAATCTAAATAAAACGTAATGTTATTTTTCATAAATTTGAGCAAATATGTATTTATACTTGCGCTAAATCGTTTTTTGTCTTCCTTTCAGCCTGTTTGCAGAGCGCCGGAAGAGTGAAGCGATCGCGCAGTCCGAATCCGATGAAGGTCGCTTTGCCGGTCCATGCGGTGAACCCGATCTCTCCGTCAGCCACAGAATCCCGCAATGACAGCAATAATAACAATCGTCACCACGGTGATCATCATCCGAGCGACGACGGTGCGTCCTCCGCCGAGGAATTGGGTGCGAAACGGCCCCTTCATCCGGCACTAGTTGGCGCCGGTGCAGCCTTGGAGGCGAAGCCGCTATGGGAGGAATTTCACCAGCTAGGTACCGAGATGATTGTCACGAAAGCGGGACGAAGAATGTTCCCCACGTTTCAGGTAAAGAT